AGAGTGACCCCATAGAGACCCCCGGACCCATAGAGACCCCTCTGACCCCATAGAGACCCCCGGACCCAGAGAGACCACCCTGACCCCATAGAGACCCCATAAAGACCCCCTGGACCCTATAGAGACCCCTGGACCCCATAGAGACCCCTTGACCCCATAGAGACCCCCAGACCCATAGAGTGACCCCATAGAGAACCCCCTGACCCAAGAGAGACCCTCTGACCCCATAGAGACCCCCCTGGGGGTCTCTGGGGGTCTTTGAGGGTCAGGGGGGTCTCTCTGAGTCGGGGGGGGGTCTCTGGGGGTCTCTGTGGGGTCTCTGTGGATCTATGGGGTGTCTGTAGGTCAGGGTGGATCTGTGGGGGTCTCTGAGGGGCCAGGGGGGTCTCTGTGGGTCAGAGGGGTCTCTATGGGGTCTCTGAGGGGCCAGGGGGGTCTCTGTGGGTCAGAGGGGTCTCTATGGGGTCTCTATGGGTCTCTGTGGGGTCTCCGGGGGGTCTCTGAGGGTCAGGGGGTTCCCTGGGGGTCTCTGGGGTGTCTCTGAGGGGTCGGGGGATCTTTGGGGGGTCTCTGTGGATCTATGGGGTGTCTGTAGGTCAGGGTGGATCTATGGGGATCTCTGAGGGGTCTGGGGGTCTTTGTGGGGTCTCTGAGTGTCGGGGGGGCATCTCTGAGGGTCAGGGGGTTCCCTGGGGGTCTCTGGGGGGTTGGGGGGTCTCTGGGGGGTCAGGGGTTTCCCTGGGGGTCTCTGGGGGGTCAGGGGGTTCCCTGGGGGTCTCTGGGGGGTCGGGGGGTCTCTGGGGGGTCAGGGGGTTCCCTGGGGGTCTCTGGGGGGCGGGGGGGGTCTCACCATCTCCGCGTTGTCCACCAGCCAGGGGTGGGCACAAAGCTGCAGCACCAGCAGGGCCCGCACCAGCTCCCACCCCCCCAGTGCCCTCAGCGCCCGCCCCTCCCTCATCCGCACCGCCAGGGACCCCCCCGGGGACCCCTCCCCACCTGGGGACCCCCCCGGCCCCATAGAGACCCCCCTGGATCCCCCTGGCCCCATAGAGACCCCCCTGGATCCCCCTGGCCCCATAGAGACCCCTCCGGGTCCCCCCAGCCCCATAGGGACCCACCTGGACACCCCCAGCCCCATAGAGACCCCCCGGGGTCCCCTCTGCCCCATAGAGACCCCTCTGGACCCCCCCGGCCCCATAGAGACCCCCCTGGACACCTCCAGCTCCATAGAGACCCCTCTGGGTCCCCCCTGCCCCATAGAGACCCCTGGGGACCCTCCTCCAGCCAGGGACCCCCCCTGCCCCATAGAGACCACCCTGGACACCCCCAGCCCCACGGAGACCCCCCTGGACCCCCCCTGCCCCATCGCAGTGCCAGGGGGATAAATCCACTCCTCCTTCCCTCCCTTGGGTCACTAATTAACAACGGGGTTAATTAGTGAGGGATTCTGGGGGAGGGGGCGCCCCTCCCTGACCCTCGTCAATGATTAACGAGGTTTAATGGGTAATTAATGGGTTTAGGAAAGTGGGGGAAGAGCCGGTACGGGGGGGGGGGGGGGGGGGGTTATGGGGGAAGGGGGCATCCTGCCCACCCCCCCCTTGTTGCTCGTTAATGAAGCTTAATTAATTAATTAATGGTTTTGAGTCAATGGGTAATGATTTTATAAAAACAAGGTGGGTTATGGGGCGAACGGAGCCCACACAGGGGACAAAATGGGGAGAAATTGTGAGGGGAGAAAATAGAGGGAAACTGTGAGGGGAGAAAATGCGGGAAAATGTGGGGGCGTAAAAACGGAGGGAAAATGTGAGGGGACAAAATGGGGGGAAATTGTGAGGGGAGAAAATGGAGGCAAATTACGAGGGGACAAAATGGCGGGAAAACCTGAGAGGAGAAAATGGGGGGAAACTGTGAGGGGAGAAAATGGAGAAAAATTGTGAGGGGAGAAAATGGAGGGAAATTGTGAGGGGACAAGATGGGGGAAACCCTGGAGGAGAAAATGGTGGGAAAACCTGAGAGGACAAGATGGGGGAAATCCTGAGGGAAGAAAATGGCGGGAAATTGTGAGGGGACAAAATGGTGGCAAATCAGGAGGGGAGAAAATGGCGGCAAAAGCTGAGGGGACAAAATGGGGGAAACCCTGAGGAGACAAAATGGTGGCAAATCAGGAGAGGAGAAAATGGCGGCAAAAGCTGAAGGAACAAAATGGTGGTAAATCATGAAAGGACAAAATGGGGGAAAATGTGAGGGGAGAAAATGGTGGGAAAACCTGAGAAGAGAAAATGGCGGGAAAATGTGAGGGGACAAAATGGGGGAAATCGTGAGGGGACAAAATGGCGGGAAACTGTGAGGGGACAAAATGGCAGGAAAACCTGACGGGAGAAAACGGCAGGAAAACCTGTGGGGACAAAGTGGAGGGAAACTGTGAGGGGACAAAAATGGTGGGAAAATGTGAGGGGACAAAATGGAGGCAAATCACGACGGGACAAAATGGCGGTAAAACCTGAGGGAAGAAAATGGTGGGAAAACCCGAGGGGACAAAATGGGGTCACTTATGGGGCACAGAAAGGTTTTGGGGATCACTTATGGGGCACCCCCTCCCCTACCGCTCATTAACACGCTTCCACGCCTCGTTAACGACCCATTTATTGATTTTCAGCCGCGGCAGGACCCGATGTGGGGCAGGTGAGGGACCTGTGGGGCAGGTGAAGGGTCTATGGGGCAGGTGAGTGACCTGTGGGGCAGGTAAGTGATCTATGGGGCAGGCGAGGGGCCTACAGGGCAGATAATAGTTCTGTGGGGCAGGTGAGGCCTCTATGGGGCAGGTGATGGTTCTGTGGGGCAGGTGAGGGACCTGTGGGGCAGGTGAGGCCTCTATGGGGCAGGTGATGGTTCTATGGGGCAGGTGAGGGACCTGTGGGGCAGGTGAGACCTCTATGGGGCAGGTGATGGTTCTGTGAGGCAGGTGAGTGCTCTGTGGGGCAGGTGAGGGCTCTCTGGGGCAGGTGGGCCCCGCCGCGGGCCAGGTGTGGGTCAGTAGTTGCCGCGCTCCTGCCGGAAGCCGCCTCGTCTCAGGTACCCGTCGCCCTTGCGGTACCCGCCGTCCTTCTGGTCTGCGGGGCGGAGCCGGACAGGTGAGCAGGGGGTGGGGCCAGGTGTGTCCCAGGTGTGTGCCAGGTGTGCCCAGGTGTGTGTCAGGTGTGTGTCAGGCGTCCCCAGGTGTGTCCCAGGTGTGTCCCAAGTGTGTGTCAGGTGTCCCCAGGTGTGTGCCAGGTGTCCCCGGGTGTGCCCAGGTGTGGCCCAGGTGCCCCCCAGGTGTATCCCAAACACATCTCATGTACCCACGTGTGGCCAGGTGTATCCCGGGTGCCCCCACCTCCATCCCAGATGTACTCAGGTGCCCCCCAGGTGTATCCCAGATACATCCCATGT